TATACGCGAGGCTTCTGCCGGTCTTTGTTCCGTGGCTCTAGTTCAATTCAGAACCAAGGGGCGAGAACGTGCCAGCGCCCCTCACCAACGATGGAGGGTAGGTCCCAGCCAGCGCTGACCAGACAAAAGTCGTACTGTTGCCACCAACCATTGACGCCCCGCCCCGCCCAACTGTCGGGCAAACTATGTCCCGGAGTCGGGCGAGTCATGTGTAGAAGTCCACACCTCAGTGCATGGCCGGCTGGGCGGAGGTTGGACAGCCCTTTCGCATTCTTGCCGCCGCCACCGCCGTAAGCTCTCCGGGCTCGGCTTGGCGCTGCCACCAGCACATACAACCCATCATTCACCGTCTCAAAGCATCCAACAGTTCATTATCGGCTGATCGATCGTCTCATGGGGATGCGCAGGTCACTAGGCGCGTTGGGCCTGCTTCCTCGGCGCCGGGGCGGGCTTTCAGCGGCCGGTGCCCGGCAACGTTACCGGAGTTTACTGGCGATGGGCTGAGGTGGTGACCTTACCGGAGTTACGGCGATGGGCTGAGGTGACATTACGGCGATGGGCTGAGGTGGTGACCTTACCGGGGGTTTACTGGCGATGGGCTGAGGTGGTGACCTTACCGGGGGTTACGGCGATGGGCTGAGGTGGTGACCGTACCGGGGTTTACTGGCGATGGGCTGAGGTGGTGACCTTACCGGAGTTTACCGGCGATGGGCTGAGGTGGTGACCTTACGGGTTTACTGGCGATGGGCTGAGGTGGTGACCTTACCGGGGGTTTACTGGCGATGGGCTGAGGTGGTGACCTTACCGGGGGTTTACCGGCGATGGGCTGAGGTGGTGACCTTACCGGAGTTTACCGGCGATGGGCTGAGGTGGTGACCTTAACGGGTATTTACTGGCGATGGGCTGAGGTGGTGACCTTACCGGGGTTTTACTGGCGATGGGGCTGAGGTGGTGACCTTACCGGGGGGATTTACTGTCGCGATGGGCTGAGGTGGTGACCTTACCGGAGTTTACTGGCGATGGGCTGAGGGGGTGACCTTACGGGGGATTTACTGGCGATGGGCTGAGGTGGTGACCGTACGGGGGATTTACTGGCCGATGGGCTGAAGTGGTGACCTTACCAGGAGTTTACTGGCGATGGGCTGAGGTGGGTGACCATTACCCAGGAGTTTACTGGCGATGGGCTGAGGTGGTGACCTTACCGGAGCTTACTGGCGATGGGCTGAGGTGGTGACCTTAACGGGGATTTACTGGCGATGGGCTGAGGTGGTGACCGTGCGGGGGATTACTGGCGATGGGCTGAAGTGGTGACCTTACCGGAGTTTACTGGCGATGGGCGAGGTGGTGACCTTACCGGAGTTTACTGGCGATGGGCTGAGGTGGTGACCTTACCGGGGGATTTACTGGCGATGGGCTGAGGGGGTGACCGTACGGGGGTTTACTGGCGATGGGCTGAGGTGGTGACCTTACCGGAGTTTACTGGCGATGGGCTGAGGTGGTGGCAACCTTGCCGGAGTTTACTGGCGATGGGCTGAGGTGGTGACCTTAACGGGGGATTTACTGGCGATGGGCGAGGTGGTGACCTTAACGGGGAATTACTGGCGATGGGGGCTGAGGTGGTGACCTTAGCGGGGATTTACTGGCGATGGGATGAGGTGGTGACCTTACCGGGGGTTTACTGGCGATGGGCCGGGTGGTGGTCTTACCGGGTTTTGGGGCGATAGGCCCGGGTAGTGACCTTGCCGGGGGATTACTAGCGATAGGCCGGGGTGGTGACCTTACCGGGGGTTTACTGGCGATGGGCCGGAGTGGTGACCTTACTGGGGTTTTGCTGGCGATAGACCCGGGTGGCGACCTTGCCGGTGGATTACTAGCGATAGGCCGGGGTGGTGGCCTTACCGGGGGTTTACTGGCGATGGGCCGGAGTGGTGACCTTACCGGAGTTTCATGGGTGATAGGCCGGGGTGGTGACCTTACCGGGGATTTTCTGGCGATAGGCCGGGGTAGTGACCTTACCGGGGGTTTGCCGGCGCTGGGCCGGGGTCGGGTAATGCCGGAACACCTGGCGGAGCAGGTTACGACTGCCCATAATCGCCACCGTACAAGCGACCCGGGTAGTGGATCATCGCTCAACGGTGCGACTTTCAGCACCTGCTGTAAATAAGCACACTCGACGAGGTGCCTCTCTCCCCGGCCCCGTGACGGCGCGTCTATCCATGCAGACGCCACCTTGACCTGGATGGTGCAGTGCGGGTCGTGAGCCGGCCAGCCGCGCTGTCGCGAGTCACCCGTAGCCGTCCGCGGCGGTCCGCGCTGACCGCAGTCAACACCAGGCGCGGCCAGGGGTCAGGGCCGGCTTGCGTGCGGCGCGCACGCACTGTTTTTGTCGACTTCGGAAGGCCTTCGACGGCACGACGCGGCCGCCGGCTGAATCGTGGCGGGCGCGTGACGCGGTTTCCTGGAGAACTGGTCCGCAAATATGCGCGCTGCCTCTCGCGGCGGTCCCAGCGCCAGACGACCGACGATTGATGGTCCGCTGGTGGGCCGCGAATGAAGGGAATATTCAACATTCGTGTGCCGCGAGCCACACCTGGGATCGTAGCCGTACGCGGACGGGGAGACGTCTCGAATTAGACCTGTCGCGCATATCTGCAGTCAAGCACAGTCTGATAGTGTGCGCTTACACAGCCGAAACCAGTGTGCGACGAGAGTGATCGTCGCACCCGCTGACAGGCAGTTTGATGTCTCGCGTTTGGTTTTGTGACGGCGTGTGTCTGGAAGGCCGCGCACCCGACCGCTAGCTGCGCCACCAAACTCCCCGCACCAAACTCCCGGCAGGCGTGATAATCTTGGCTGTCCGGCGCTGAAAAAGCACGACAGTCACCTGAAACAAGTTGCCTGCTCGAAAACAATATTTTTTTCGCAAGCCCGCGCGGAGCGTGTGCTGCAGATACCAAGCAGTGGCAGCGATCAGTCGGCGGTCGAAGAGCAGTCTGGTGCCGCGCTCCTCAGTGTGCGGGCTCATGGTGCGTGACCTCACGCGGCACGACGCTTCCGGCACTGGCCGACCAGCGGCGTGACGGGCGGCTGTAGAGTGAGCGGTGCGGGCCGTCTGGGGCCGTGTCCTGCGGCGCCGTATTGACCGTCGCCTCCTGACGTCAGGCCATGACGGTCGCCTCAGGCCGCGTGGGCCGGGCCGGCCGTCCCAACTGCCGAACGCTGGCTAAACTCGTCCGGACGCGCCGCCTTTGGCGCTCCGGTGCCCGGCTGCCAGCGGCCGGCTCCAGACAAACGGCCGCGCTGACGTCACCACATTGTCCGGCGCGCGGCGATCGTTACGGGCTGCCCGTGACGGCGCGCTCGGGCACGGGTGGCGGGCCGCGGGGCTCAGGTCGCTGGCCTGAGTCGGCCTCTGCCGGCGGAGCGGCTCCACCGCCGCGCGCCGGGTCGCGAGATGTCTGGTCCGGGCCTGGGAACGCCGGGTCTGGAGGAGATGAGGGCGCTTCGTTGGTATGCGTCCCGCCGCTGCTGGTACGTCACGCGTCCGATGCGATAGCACGTCTGGGCACTCTCTTGTCGTGGCGCGTCCGCCTGCTCTGCCATCGTGATGGGTTCATCGTAGTGGGCGCGTGTGGCCACGTGCTCGTCGTGACCAGCGCAGGGTCGCGCGATGCCCAGCTGTCGTGACGGAGTCGGCTGGTTCGGCGCGTCGCTGCCGGGCCGGGCTGCTGGAGCCGGCCGCGGCGGCGCCCTCCCCTCCCGGGACCGGGCCGCGGTGAGCTCTTTCGGCGCCCGTCTGCTGCCGGGGCCCAGCTGTCGGCTCCGCCGGTTCCCAGAACTATTTGGAAAGGCGTCGCCACTTGGGATTTGCCCGGCGTCGGTGTTTTGTGCAGCTCTGAGTGCCGCACTGGATGCGGCTCCGGGACTGGCCGATGGATGTTTGGTGGGCTTCAAGAGGTCATGGCTCATGGTCAAGGCTTGGCATGGGACACAGATCTCTCACATCCGACGCATGGCGGCGATGGGTGTAGAACACGTATATTCTTCATTTGCGTGATGGTATCTGGAGATTTGTCATGATTGCAAGGCATCTATGCATGAATGTATGCCCCCCACCCGTCTTATGTCTGGCTGGTATGTAATCTGGCTGGTATGGAATTGCCAGTCCTTCCAGGCTGAGTAGCGGTCTCATGTGAGCGGATAGTCGCTGGGCGGGAAATTCCATGTCAGCGTAATCACCAAGGCTCGTGAAAGACATGAAAGGTCGCTCTAAAGGCTATCTCGAGACGCTGTGCGCCGGTTGCCGTGATGATGTCTTCGGCCGGCCCGACCAGGGTACCTATGACACGGATTGTGTCCAGAAAAGTCTTGCAACCCATCAGAGGTCTTTGGGTCATGAGCGCTACCGCCTGGCTTTTGACTTCCCCGTTAACACAGCCTCCCATCGTTATGACGCCCTCCACCGCGTGGCATCTAACCCAGAGGCCGTCATTAGCGTGTTAGGATTGACGCGTCCGTGCGATGAGGTTTGCGTCCCATTTGTCAGTCGTAGGAAATCCGCCACTGTTGCTGCAATCGGGTGGCGCGCGGTCGTAAGCCGCCGCAGCAGCCGACCCCTCCAGCATTGAGAGGTGATCGCGCCCTGCGTCGGCTGGCTCCGGGAGCCCCGTCACGCCGGCAGTGCACGGGACATGATCTGGCGTGCTGGCTCCGTGGCTTCGTGGCGGGGGTGCCGGCGTTTGAAGCTGCTGTCTGTGAGGCTCGCGGGTGGAACGATGCTCGTTGTGCTCGTGTCATAAGTGCTAGTGCTGTGCTGTCGTACTATTCCGCATTGCTAGGAACGCGATGTGGTGGACGTTGGATGCTTTGTGTTGAAATGAAAAAAACGCGAGCAATTCTCGTCGGATTTCGCTCCTCCAGCAGGGCATGATGTCCACTTCCCTTCGCCGCCGTCCACTCGGTGTGCGCGCCTGACCAGGCCCCTGCCCCGCTGTCGGCAGTTCCTGCGCGAGGAGCTGAACTACGTCCAGGGCTACGGCAGCCGGCAGGACCTGTTCCACCGGTCCGACCAGAGCCAGGATACGGCCGTGAGCGTGCGCGAGCTGTGGGAGCACTGGCGCCGCTCGGCCGTCCACAACTGGACCACCGAGCAGACCGTCGAGTGGCTGGTGCTGCACGTGCACCTGCCGCAGTACCGGGAGGTGTTCGAGCTGCACCACATCGCCGGTCCGTCGCTGCCCAGGTAGGCCCCGCTGCTGACTCCGGCGCGGCTCGTGACGTCTGGGACGCAGAGGGCTGAGCGTGGCTGGGATGGGCGAGGGTCGGGGCCTGGCGCGGCCGGTGGTTACGGCCCGAAGCGGCTGGGCCGGTCTCGGTTGCGCACGTGTTGAAGCCTCGGCACTTAGCGATACGGGGCAGACCGTCGGCAACGGCAGCCGGGTACGGGGCGGGGAGTAAGAACTGGCCTGTTCATAGTACGGGCGTCATGCTCTATGTTAGTTTTTTGATTTTTGTTTTTAGGTTCAGCCGAATTTTTCATTGGATGGGTTTCTAGGCTCAGAGCCCACGGCACGGAATACTTGATGTGTGAGCTCTTATCCCACCATCCGATCTTGAGATAACAGGTCGACGGAACGGCAGAATTTTGTGGCGAAAATTTAATGTGCCGTAATGCTCGACGCGGTCTACTCCACCCTCTGACATCACTTGACCTTTAACGCGGCCACTGCCGTCAGCCACAGGCCATTCCAATCAGGACGAATAGCGAGTGCTTAAAGGGACCCGGACCAAGTGCGTGAATGGGAAGACATGTGCTCCCCGCCACAAGTGAATGGGAAGACGTGTGCTCCCACCACAAGTGGGTGAATGGGAAGACATGTGCTCTAACGAACTGAGGCATCGGGACGGACAATGACAACGTATTCACCGTTTGGCGCACAAGGTGCGTGTAGGCCGTGGGTAGCGTTGGCCATATCGCCAGTGTTCTGCGGAACTGATAGCTATGGTTCATGTCGCGGTCTGGGTCCATGTATATGTGTCGGGTCAGGAGTGAAACTGACCGTCGGTGACCAGAAGTCGCCGAATCCACGCCGGCAGTCACCTGGCAGTCTTCCCATGTGGGGCCATGTCTTCCCAATCTTCCCAGTCTTCCCATGTCGGGCCCGCCGCCGTCCTGCCCTCTGGCGGCGGGTTGCGGCCGGACTCACTCCCGACGGAGGCTGGCGTCTGTGGCGGCGCTGCCGCTGCCGCTCCGCTCGCGTCGGCCGGGCCTCCGCCTCCCCAGCCGTCTGACAGGCCTTGCAGACAGACCGCCCACGCCCGGCCGGGCCCGTATCGAACGCTGCCGACCCCGGAAGGGCCCGCACTCTGTCGGCTACAGGTGGCGGGTCCTGCTGCCGCCGCGGCGGCTTGCTGCGTCACCCTGGGGTCGGCCGGGTCGCCAGCGCCGCTCCGTCAGCGGCACGGCCCTGGCGCTGGTCTCGTCTGCACGGGGGTGCCCGTGCCGCCCCCTGCTGTGAGGTTCCACTGTGTCTTGAGACTCTGGCAACCCTGTCAGGGTCTCTGTGTTCGGCCTTTCGGAGGCAAGAATGTCGATATTTGTTCATGCTATCGTGCCCCGGGCTCGAGGTTTACGACCTGTTGCCCCTCCCCCTCAAGGTCGGTCATTCAGCATCAAACCGGGCGGCGATCAGCCCAGCATTCGGGCGCCTCCGGCCTGACCAATCGGCCGGTCAGGTCAGATGTCACGCTGCGGGGTCAAAGGGCAACAGATCAGCAGCCAACGTATTGTGCGCACAGAGGCCGCCGGAGATGCAGAATCCTGGTAGCATAAATTGATATCTACCCCCTGCGCGCTCGTTTGGATGAATTTGGGAACGCCGTCCCGGCTGCGGCGGGTCGTCCGTGCCGGTCCGGGCACTGGCCCGGCACTCCGGGGCCGCCGGCTGCTGGAGTCCCGCCGTCGACGCAGTCTGCGGGACATTGTGCCTGGGCAGACAGCCGCCTCACTCGGCTCATCTGGCGTGCGTCGTGCGCCGTCGGCGTCTCGGCGCCGCGCGCTCTGCTGCTGGCCGTGCTCAGCGGTCGGCGTCGCGTCATCCGGCGCGTTCTGCCGTCGGCGTGCCGACATTCCGCCGGCCTGTGCCAAGAGCGGCCAGCTATCGGGGACAGGGCCCGCCGCCGCCCGCCGCCAGCCACGCGGCTGCCTAATCAGACTCATTTTCCGCCCCCCTGGCCGCGACGTACTGACCCCATCGGAGAACGGGGTCACGAATCCGCCAGTGGTCGTGATCTTCGCGGAATGTGGAGCCGGCCTTGGTGAAGTGGGTCGCGAGATAAGCAAAGGCCGACTCTAAATTTGCCAGTTATAGACGCTTTGGAGCTGCGCGTGTCGTTTGGTGGACGCCCACCGCGGGTCGTTATCATGACCTCGATCACCCTACCTATGCACTTTAGGTCATTGACTTCTAGAATTGCTCGATAGCTGCGTATGGAGTTGTTTTATTGCCGTCTTTTATCTCACCGAGCGCTGCTGTAGCGCCCGGCCTCCCGGGCACCTCCCGGTATGACGCCGAGGCGTCGCCGGCGGTCAGATACCGACAAAAACCCGCCGTATTTCTCCTGAGCGGCCTGGCGGCACGCGGCCGGCCGCGCTCGGTGCGTCGGCGGTCTCGGCGCGCCTTTTCGACGCCGCGTGCCGCTGCGCCTGCGCTGTCGGCGCCCGCCTGCACCCGGCGAGTGGAGGCCTGGCGTTCTGGCCGACGGTGGGCCGCGCACTGTCCTTATGGCGCGGTGTTTCGCTCCTGACAGGTCAGGCCGCCTCGTCATCACTGGTTTTCGGACGGGTGGCAAGGGCGTCATTTGGTCCTTACTGGTGGCCTTCAGACGAGCCAGGCCAGCTCGCTATGTCAGTCTGTGTCATCAGGTATCATACGCCGACAGGTCAAGGCGTCGCTGTCATGAATAGCCGTGCCCGACGCGTCAGATGTCGGTCCGACATGACTCGTCCTCCCTCGACGTCAGTCACGGCTCTTTCGTGACCGGTCCCTTCCGGGTATGTCATGTTCCGCGGCTATGTCATGCCGTGTATGTTATGACTAGTGTTCCCCTTACGTCGGAGCGCCGCTCCGTAGTGACGACACCTTTCCTGGTGTGTCATATGTCAGTCCGTAATGGTTGGTCCTGTCCTGACTGGTGCGGATCGAGGCTGTGTTGTCTCTGCCCATCCTGAATCTGCTGGTCCCGCGGGGCTGCGGTTGACCCACTGACCGCCACCGAAGTCTAAAGAACCGAGCGTACCGGCGATGTTCGGGTCGCTGGAGGCGGGTCCCACGTCCGCTGCCCGAGCGGCCTGGACGTGATGCGCACCTGCCGCGCGCGTTGGCCGGTGCTGGCGGCGCCGGTGGTGGCCTGACCCTGGCCCGGCTGGCCCGGCGGCGCGGCAGCCGCGGCAGCCTCCGCCACCGCAACAGGTGCGCCACCGGCGCTCGGTCTCAGCTGGTGGGCCGCAGCTGGCGGGCCCGGCGCCGCGGCCAGAACGGGGCAAGTCTGGCGCCGGCCGGGCAGACGTCCCGTCAGCCCGCTGTGTGTGCGTGCGCACGTGCGTGTGTGCCTACATGTGTGTATGCGTGCATGTGTATATGTGTGTGTGCGTGCGTGTGTATGTATGCGCGCGTGTGTGCGTGCGTGCGTGCGTGCGTGCGTGCGTGCGTGCGTGCGTGCATGTGCGTGTGTGCGCGCGCGGGCATGCGTGCGTCGGTGTGTTTGTTTGTGTGTGTGTCCACGCCTGCGCACTTTCCTCTGGCTCGGGCGCTGTGTGAGCCTGCCAGGAATGTGCGATATCCGCCAGCCGGGTGGCGGCGGATACGGCCGAGGGCGAGGCGACGACGGGCCGTCGGCTCCGTGAAACACGCCCCCGTCGGTCTGGGGTCCAACTGTACCAGCCCCCCCCCCACCCCCCCGGGATAGCTGTCACGTGGTGCGGCGTTTGCTTGCTTGGCATTAGTTTTTTCTGTTCTCCTCGGCCGCGGCGTGGTTTTCGAGATGTTAGCTTCTTCGGTTCACTGGGACAGATTAGACTAGAGCTAAGAGTAACTAGCTATAGCGCCTGGTCGGGGGCTCAAATAAATGAGTAAGACAGATGTAAAACTCTGCATTCGGATTCGGTTGCGAACGCCGCTACCTGAAAACACCTGTGCATCTTTTGCCTGGCTTGTGCAAATACCATTTTGCCATTTCAATGGTCCGTTTTGTGCAAAGCAAAACAGCATTACGACAGAGGCAAATCGAGATCGATGCCGTTCTGTGTGCTTGATGAAGCGATGCTGACTCAATACGCGTCGATTGTAAGCCCTCGAGGCGTGTTTTGTGCAGCAGCTTTCATGCCAGTACGGTGTCGGCTGCCTTTCCTGCAGTCCGCCCCGGCTTTCCCTGGCTGCTACGCCCCCGTGTTCGTGTGTGTTCGCGGGGCATTGACCGGCTGTTTGCCTCGTGTCCACAGGCTGGCGGTGAACAACAACCACTTTCTATCCGGCGTGCTGGGCATCAAGGATCCGCGCCACAAGCAGAAGATCATGCTGAAGGCCATGGACGCCGTGCTGTTCGGCCCCCCTAAAGGTGACCCCCCTCCTCCCGCCCGGCGCTGCCCGCCCACGTGTCAGCCAATGAATGTGACATCAGAGGGAGCAGCATTGAGCGTGCGGATGTATCGCCTAAAATGGCGCTTCATCTGAAACCAGCGTGCCTGTCTCTCCGTGCGAGGGACACAGTTGAGTGATAGCGGACTCACAGAACCGACACGGGGGTGCCGGTAGGTGTGCCGGTAGTTAACGCGTCTGCGTTAACCACTGCGCGTCTGGGAAACCAGAGGTACGGGGTTCGATTCCCCGCGGTGCTCGCCCTTCCTGCCAGGGTGAGAGGCAGGCGACGCCATATAGCCTCAGCAGCTGAGTGCATCGTAAAGCCCCAATTACATACACATACAGAACCGACGCGTGTCTGCGCCGAGCGTTGATCGACGGCACGCACTGCTTCAGACCCCAGCAACCTGGTGAAGGACGCCATCCTGCTGACGCTGGTGCTGGTGGCGTCCGTCGGCTGCTGGCTCGTCTACCGGCAGAACCAGAAGTTCCAGCTGCGCATGCGCAAGATGACGGCCGACATGGAGAGCCTGAGCAAGGCTGAGGAGACGCTTCTGGGCCTGCAGGTACTGCTGAGGATGGGGCGAGGAGTGCCTGTCACGTGGAGTTAACTTCTGCGGAAATAATTGTGTGATTAAGCCAACTCCTCTTGCGCTCGTGGCTAGGCGTGCATTCCGTGGGGTTGAATTATGCTTGTTTGTTATCTGACGGCTAATTGCGTTCATTAGCCTGGTGTGGCCGCTAGATTTCATACACTGTGCGTGCTCTGTCTCGTCCCGACTCTGCGCAAATTTTGGCCGTGACTGTTACACGGCGCCGTGCAGCCACCTCTGCGACAGCCGGCACAGCGCCGTCGTCAGCAGCGGGACCCGTGTGAGCCCCGCTCCCTCCTCGGCCGCAGGTGGAGCTGGACCGGGCCAACCAGGAGAAGGAGGTGGTCTCCTCCCACAACCGGCGTCTGGAGCAGCGGTTGACCGGTGACGTCAGCGCCGATGGCGGCCAGTCCGAGCTGGAGCGACTCCGTTCAGAGGTCGAGGTCAGTGTCAGGTCAGAGGTCAGGATGGTGACCAGCCCGAGCCAGAACGGCTTCGCTCAGAGGTCGAGGTCAGTGTCAGGTCGGTGTCAGGTCAGCGGCCAGGCAGAACTGGAGCAGCTTCACTCAGAGGTCGAGGTCAGTGTTAGGTCAGAGGTCAGGCTGGTGACCAGCCCGAGCTGGAGGGGCTCCGTTCAGAGGTTGAGGTCAGTGCCAGGTCGGTGTCAGGTCAGCGGCCAGCCCGAGCTGGAGCGGATCCGCCCAGAGGGCAAGGTCATTGTCAGGTCTGAGGTTAGGTCAGCGGCCAGTCTGAACAGGAGCGGCTCTGCTCTTCAATGGCATGGTAACACGTCCACGGCAATACGTCCGATGGGTTTATGAAATCCCCAGGAGGCTCTAATTGTGCATGACAGCTGTTTAAGGCTGCTTCACGTAGTACACACATTAATTTCAGACTTAGTTATGCGGTAACTTACATTTCTGTTTGAATCTAATCAACAATGGTTCGGTTGGCAAAGCAAATCTTAAAAGAGAATCAATTTGACCCTGATAGCGGCAACATTTGTCAGATACGAGAGCCGATTCTGGCCGCAGTTTGTGTCGGGCGCAGGCCTGCCAGGTGGGAATCCCGTGTGCTCACCATAAGCATGGCATGATGGACGTCAACACGCGGCATCTTGCTCTGATCAGGCGTGACGGCCGGCTGACAGACGTGACAGCCGCCCGCGGCGCCGCCAGATGCTGACGGAGACGCTGCGCAGCACCGAGGCGGAGCTGGAGGACCGGTGCTGGAACTGCCCGCCGGCGCTGCAGCACTGGCTGCAGCTCACGTACGAGCTGGAGCTGCGTGACCACAGCCGCAAGCGCGCCGACGCCGAGCGACAGCTGGAGGACGCCAAAGTCATGGTGAGAGGCGGCCAGGGCTGGGTAGGTGGGCCGCTGGCCAGGCTGGGAGGCGGGCAGGTGGGCAGGGCTGGGGAGGCGGGCAGGTGGCCAGCGGTGCGGCAAGGTGACCAGGGACAGTGAGGTGGTCAGAGGCGCGTTGAGGTCGCGCGTGCGCCCCCCCCCCCCCCATGTGCGTATTATTGGGTGGCAGTACCCGTGGACCGTTGATGTTGTGCCATGTGACGGCTTCGTGCGACGGGGACAACTTGCCTGAGATGTGCCTTGATGCTCGTTCGGATGGGTTCGGCGGCGGCAAGCAGCGCCGGCCCTAACTCGACACCCGCGCCCCGCAGAGCCCTCCCTGACCGGCACCCACCTGAGACAGTGCCGGACCTAACTCAGCACCCCCGTTTCGCAGTGCGACAAGCTGCGCAAGAAGCAGAACAGCCTGTACGGCGCGCTGGTCTCCACACACGGCCGCACCGTCAACGACGTCGACACGAGTATCGTCCTGGCGCGGAAGGCGCTGATGGAGGTGACGCAGGAGCTGCAGGAACGCACCTACCGCTGGCGTCAGATCGAGCTGATCTGCGGCTTCCAGGTGGTGCACAACCCGGGCCTGCCGTACCTCGAGTCGCTCACGCGCACTCTGCAGCGCAACACAACGTCCATACCCCGCACCGGTGAGACAGGGGGCCGTGTGGGAGGAGGCGGGGTCTGGGTGCGGTGGTGCCAGAGGTGCGCAGGGGAGGTCGCGGCACGTGGCGGCGCCGGAGGTGTGGAGAGGAGGTGGCGGCACAGGGTGGTGCCGGAGTTGCGCAGGGGAGGTCTGGAGACGTGGTGCCGGAGGTGCGGAGAGGAGATGGCGGCACACGGTGGTGCAGGAGGTGCGGAGAGGAGGTGGCGGCACAAGGTGGTGCCGGAGGTGCGCAGGGGAGGTGGCGGCACACGGTGGTGCTGGAGGTGCGGAGAGGAGGTGGCGGCACACGGTGTGCCGGAGGTGCGGAGAGGAGGTGGCGGCACACGGTGTGCCGGAGGTGCGCAGGGGAGGTGGCGGCACACGGTGGTGCCGGAGGTGCGGAGAGGATGGTGGCGGCACACGGTGTGCCGGAGGGTGCGGAGAGGAGGTGGCGGCACACAGTGGTGCCGAAGGTGCACAGGGGAGGTCGCGGCACGCGGCGGTGCCGAAGATGCGGAGAGGAGGTGGCGGCACACGGTGGTGCCGGAGGTGCGCAGTGGAGGTCTCGGGACGCGGCGGTGCCGGAGGTGCCGTCGCCGGTTTGGGTCCGCGTAGCGCGGTGGTGTGTGCCGGTTTGGTTACAGATGGCGGCCTGCGTAACGTTTCAGTTGTGCGGTTCACATCGGGCGTCAACTTGTGTTTTTTTTGCTGGTGCCCCTTCTACCCCTGGCTGTTTTATGCGATTGGCACCGCGTCCTTATTGCAGCTTCATCGCTTAGAAAATCGGACGATGACCTGGACGAGGATAGCGTCTCTACACACGGCCAAAGTGCAAGTGAGTTACGGGCCGGGCAAAGCACCGCTTTTAAATGACATATTGCCGTATTGTAATGTTGAACTAACCAATCTATGGTTCACTGGCTGTTGTCGTGGAGCCGCGCCAGCGTCTGTGGCATTTGTTCGGCCGTCCACCAGCCGGTGGCGATCAGCTCGAAGTGGTCACGATCCTGCGGCCCTGTCTGATGCATAAACAGCCTTCGATCGTTGCCGACGCGTTGCGCCACCTTTGGCGACTTTGAACTCGCCAGCGGCCCGACGCGGGAGTGGATTGACGTCGGGGAACATTGACGTGTGAACGTGTTGACTGGCGTGCGCCGCGGCGTGTCGGCGGCTCGCCATGACGACCGGGCGGGGTCGGCCCCGCTGCGCGCGCCGTGAGCGGGCGTCTGCGGCGCGTGAAGCCGTGACGTGACGCCGTGCGCCGCCGCGCCCCAGTCTCGGAGCTGGTCAGCCAGTCGGCGCTGCTCTTCCTCAACTCGGGCGGCGGCCCGGTGCCGGCGGCGGCGCGCGCGGCCGAGCGCCGCGGCTCGGCGCGGCTGCGGCGGGCCGACACGACCCCGACGCTGCTGGCCAGCGGTGAGGGCGGCCCCGCGCCGCACCGCGCCGCACCGCGGCCGGCCGGCCAGGTGGCGCTGCCCGCGCCGCTTGGTTCTCTCGTTGGCCACCGTCGGCGCTGCCTGCTGTCGTCGCCGGCTGCGCAGCTCTGTGTGGTGTGGTTTGGGCGTGCGGCGCGCGCCGCCTGGTGCGCCGGCTCGCCGCTGGCCGCCGGCTCGGTTTACTGGTTTGCGCTTTTTGGCGTCGGGCGCCGCGGCTCGGTGCGTGCCCCTCGCAGCGTGCCACTCCCGGCGGCGCAGCTGGCGTCGGTCATGTTGATGTGTTCCGTTTGCGATTGGCTTGCTCCTGCTGTTCGTGGGCTTGCTAGCTGAATTGCGTTTGAAGCAGGTTTTGTTTAGTTTTGTCGTGCGCGTTATTCGGCTTGTTGCTTCCATGTCACGCTATCCCCTATTCAGCCGTAGTTAATGCTCGCATTTGAAATGCCCGGCTGTGGGTGATGGTGTATTTGCCATGCTTCCCAGCCCTGCAGTAGTTTGTGGTTGAGTGTACAGACGTGGCACTAGGCTATCCTGTAGTCGGCGCCAGGCTGGAGTGGCGCGTTCCCCACCCCGCCAGTAGTTCCCAGCGCCTGTTTTCGCGTGGTTGTGCCCCGTTGTTGCACGCACGTGGTCGGCCATACCAGCGAGAGACGTGTGGGTGCCGTGGTTGCTTTATTGGTTGCTTTATTGGTTTGGCTCAGACGCTTAATGATGTGTAGTGCTGCTGTAGTGTTTGTCTCGTTACCTGTCCGAGCATCAGTATGTTGCGTAAGAAGCTGAAAAACGGCATGGTCGTGCCTTCCACTTGACTTACATAATTTGGTATCTTTGCCCTGTTTACTTCATTTCGTCATAGGTTCGCCAATTGAGGTCGTCTTTATTGCGGTTCAGCACTAGCGTGTGTTCTGGCACTATTGCTGCCGTGTGTCGTAAGCGAACGTTCATGTTTGTGTGAGGTTTGATTGAGCCGTTCATTTTTGGACTGACTCCACTGTTGTCAGCATGATTGACACGATTGTTTTTGTTTTTTTTATTTGCTGCCAGTCTTGTCCTACGGCTTTTTTACCAATACTAATGCAAGCAATAAAGGCTCTCAGCTCCTGTTTTTCCGGAATCATTAGTTCTTGTGAAAATTTCTGACTCCCGTTATACCAGGAAGTGTTGTTTGACCGACGTCATTCGGCTGTCGAGGTGCGTGTTAAGATACAGATGGTTGTTTTGCTTTAGTGCTGACTGTGTCGGGTGTCATTGCAGCCTCGTCCACGGCTGTAAGCGCACTCGCCGAACGAGCCAGCGCCTCGCGGCTGCTGGAGCGCGACTCGAGCCAGTCGTCGTACGACCCGTCGACTCGGCCGCTGGAGCGCGACTCGAGTCAGTCGTCGCACGAGTCAGCCCGGCTGCTGGAGCGGGACTCGAGTCAGTCGTCGCACGGCTCGGCGCCGGACGGCGAGCCGCGGCCGGCCGGCTCCATCGCCGCCTTCGCCGACAGGTTTGCATCCCCCGCCCCCCCGGCCGCCGACTGGCGAGCAGCTGCTGACGTCGCGCAGTCTGCCGAGCGATCCCCAAACGGCGCGGGTGATGGCTGTGGGAGGTGCTCTGCAGATTCGGACGGCATTAGACAGACCTTTAAACCATCGCCAGATTCTGGAGATTATCTGCGGGGTCTGCCGGGTGGCGATCTGTGTTCTTTGCGGTGATTGATATTTGCGTATGTGGGAGGAGGGGAGTTGGCAAATTTGCCGAGCTTCGTTATGGCTTGACGGATGTCCGATTCCAAGGATGGATGAAGGCCTTTCATATGTGTGGTGCCGTGCCATTGGTTTGTGCGTCGGTGCCGGAATGGCGAGTACGATCATCTAGTGCAGTGGTTCCATCTCCAATGCTGCGGTTGGTTTGATTATGCCGCTGTGAAGCACTGTTTGGCATTTGACGGCAGCCCTGTGTGATAACCCCGTATGCTGTGTGCCCTGGCTGTCAACCACCGTCTACTGCGCCAATAGCAAGACGCGGCCTACATCGCTGTGTCCCCAACCACATTTGTGGGGTGTCCAGTGTTCATGTCGCCCCCTCCCCCATTTGGACCACGCCGAACTACGACTCTGAGTGTCCCTTATCCACGTGTGAGGGGTGTCCGGTGTGCACGTAACCCCCGTCTGGCCCATGCCGAACCTCTGGATCCCTCCGACCGTCGTCCGACCCCGGTTAAACTGCCGCTTGTTGTTGGTCTGACCGCGCGTGACCCGGCTGACCTGACGTGGCCTGGCGCCGCTGTTGGTCTGACCGCGCGTGACCCGGCTGACCTGACGTGACCTGGCGCCGCTGCCGGCAGTCTGCGACCGTCCGCCCTGCACCGCGTCACTGGCGGCCAGCGGTCGCCGGCGCTGCGCCGCGGCAACATGGTCAAGTCTCACAGTCACGACGCAGCGGTGCCGGCGCCCGCCAAGGAGGCGGAGGTGAGCTCTCCGCGTGGCGTCTGGCTCCCCCGGCCGCCCCGGCGCCACGGACGGCGCGAGCCGGTGGTCGGGGTCGGCAGGTCCGCGTCGGAGGTCTGGGTCGATCGCCCGGTGCGGGCGCCTCTACTGGGCACCCGACACCGAAAACCCATTAGTTTGGTACTTGATCTAACCTTGTCATGCCATTTTTCAGAAGTTATCCCCTGTCGCTCCGTGTTCCTGCACGTGCTTCGCGGTTGGAGTGGTCGAGGTTAGGGCATCCCGTTCACTGCTGCCGCTGCCCCCGTGCTGGGTGTTGTGAGACAGCTGCTGTGTGTGTGTGTGGGGGGGGGGGGGGGGCTGCGCCGCTCCAGCGCGTGACCGTTGTTTCGCGACGGATGTGGCTGCAAGTGGCCCGTCCCGTCCCTGCGTCTGAATATGTCTGCGTGTGTAGCGTCACCGGGGCTGTTATGCGATTCGCCGCCGCTGCAGAGGGCAGCGTGCCATTCGGCTCTGCGCGCATTCTGTCGTGTCGGCGACTGGTCGTCGGTGGTGCTCATCACTGCTTCGCCAACAGTCATGCGCGGCCCTCCAGCCGTCGCCGTGTGTGTGTGTGCGTATGTGCGTGTGTGCGTGCGTGCGTGCGTTGTCGGCCGCCGCTGACGCCGGCGTGCGTCGCTGTTGGCAGCTGCAGACGGCCAGTCGGCTGGTGTCGCGCTCCGACTCGGCGCTGGACTCGGCGCCGCCCTCCCAGCTGGGCTCGCGGCTGCGCCAGATCGCCTCGAACACGCCCACTGTCGACGAGGAGGACGGCACCGACTCCAGCTCTGTCACCGAGGACGGCGACCGCAAGCCCAAGCGCAAGTTCCACCTCTTCCGACGGCACAAGGCCAAGGCACACTGACGACGCCGAGGCGATCGGAGCGGCGCCGCGCAGTACTCGAGCCGCGCGATGGGCCGACAGATGGTGCTGATGCTGTAGCGTCGACCCGAGCGTCGGTAGGCAGGACATAGGCATGTTCTAGGACTGACCAAAGCGGCTGTGCGAAGCCGCGTGGGCTGATCCGACGACAATAATGGTGCACACGTTAGGACTGTGGGTGCCGCTTCAGCGACCATCTGGCCGTCAGGGAGAATCATCACTACGAACTCGACTGATGGTCCTCCACCAATATCTGCGTGTCCCCTTGTTCTTTACAGCTGCGCTGGTTGTGATGTCCAAGACGGATGCACAGCAGTATTCCGCAGCCTTGTCGGTCCTTGTCTCGCCGTTATTGCGTGGTTTCAGGTGTGATAGACCCGCTCATGGGAAGGGTATCACAACATTCTGATGTTGCGTTGTTGGTGATAGCTCATCGTCCCGGAGAGCAGAACATTTCCTCGCGTTACATCGCATTTTAGTGATCAGCCTTCGTGCAATGGGCCGCGATCGGCACGCGTCGCCGGACCATCGCCGTCCGTCTGGCAGGACCGACCGCGCAGTGACGGCAGCTCTGACGGCGCGGCTGGGCCTCCGTCTCCTTCCTGTTCCCGTCTGTGTATTGCCGGGTGGTGGCCGCCCTCCGGCGCCGCCCGTGTCCGGGAGGGCTCGGCAGGACCGTGAGGTGGCCGCCGACCCTCGCTCGTCGCGTGCAGGCCGCCCAGCCGCCGGCTGCCGCACTCGGACGCGCTCCCGGCGGCGAGCGGACGCCGCACCGAGGTTGTTGGTCCGTGGCACCGCCGCAGACGAGTGATGAACCGCGCCCAATATAGCTGATGGAAGTACGCCGTGTTTGAGCCGGTCAGATGTGAGCTGGAGGGGCCGAGTGGCTGTGTGTGGTAGTGGGCGCCCATTGGCCGCTGTTTGTACAAGGGTTGCCGCAAACGGCCTCGCGAACGACCAGTCGCGTCATTCATGAGCGACTGGATCAGTCCGTTGATTTGCGCTGTTGCCTCCCGCGCCGGTGAGTGCTGACAGTTGGTGTGCCTCGTGTTTAAGAAAAAGAGCCGGGAGCGTCGTGTCGGAGTGAGAATGTAGTCTCGGCCTTCCTTTGTAGTCCAGCACTTTCAACCACTTGCAATTTTGACGATGACCAGCAACATAGAATGGGAACCTAAAATGTTCAACGATTTCCGCATCCTTTGTTACATCCGGGTGGAAATGCCAAGTCAAATGCTCCAGTCATTTGTAACGAGACAATATCGCTCGAAACTTGAGCCGTGCGGCTGGTACACTGGCGAACTGGTGACTTCTCGACCTCCGGCATGCACAGCTGGACGCTGCCTCCGACTCACTGCGAGGCTCCCGACTGCAGGCGGTGACTGAGCCAGCTTCAGGTGGCTGGCCGCTGAGCCTGCCTGCGCTGTCATCAGGCGCTCGGGGGTCCCGGCACGGGGAGAGCCCGTACGTGTGCGCGTGACGTCACTGGCTCACCGGGTATCTTCGGGAGTCGCATGCGTGGTGCAGGCTCCAGCGCGGCACACTCACTTCCAGGAGATCAGTAGTCTACACCTTGCAATGCTTATAGGTACACTAATCAAGTACTTACTTGTCGCCATGCAAATACAGCCATGTCTCATGTTTGCGAGAGCGGTTGAATTGGACGGGAGGGATGCCGGCCAATGTTTAAATACGCCATCCATGCCTTCAGCTAGCCGGGCCTTTGTCCCAGACTTCCATACCGAAGCGAATGATAATCCCATACTGACTAACTACGCCGTAGGACCTGCCTATGGTGTCCTCTGAGCTATAAGCACAGAACTAAGCGCCGCGCTGGATTCTTTGTGGGAGGGTGCTCATGTCTACGCCAACTGCCGAGGGGTGCGATCCGTAACATCCGTGACAACGCCCCTAAACACGGTCGTCGTTTGCCGCCGTCTGACGGCTGATGTGCGAAGTGCGTTTGGCCGCTATTTACCGACCCAGTGCTGGTAATGCAGGTGTCGGCAGAGCGACAGAGCTTCTGGCCGTGCCCAGCTCATGCACGCAGCTCCAGCCGCTCCTGTGCGTGCACACGTCTAGTCAGTGCTGGGAAGTCCGACAAGCGGCATACAGCTCCTCCCCAGAGGCCTAACAAGACCACAAGCACTTGCTGCCGTTTCTGCGGCGGGCGCGCGGCGGTCGGGGGTGGTGAGGCGCGCCCGCGCACCGGCCGCCCGCCCTCATCAGGCGCCTGATTAGGGACATCTGAGTCGGGGCGCTGAACGGCAGCTGATTACGACCGGTCGGTCTTGGCCGCACGTCATTAGAACGCCCGATGCCCTATCGCAGCCTGGCTGTAATTACATCTCCAATTATGACAGAATTCAGCCTAATCAAACCGTTATCAAATGGGCTAATTAGGCTGAGCGCGTTGGGTGTGCATTTGGCTCGGCGGCGGCGGCGGCGGCGGCGGCGGTCGGTTTGTTAGGTATGGTTCGGTTGGTTCGGTTCAGGTTGCCCCGGCACGCTGCATTGAGTCGGCCTGACGCCAGAGTCGAGCTGTGGGAGCTGTGGTCTGTGGCCGTCTGCTGGTCACGCCAGTAAGCCCGGTTTACCACACCGACGGTGCCGGTACCAACATCCGTACAATAGGAGCCTCCCCTGATACCTCACGCTGTCAGTCATATTTGGACAACGCAGCACACAACACTGTTTGGGCCGTCACTCGTCAAAACTAACACGTATGGTAACCCAGGGGGTGGTGAGGTCGCGCTGACGACGCATAGCTGGCGCTATGCGGCGTCAGTCCAGACGGTGGGAGCGAGCGCCCTCTTTTTACCGATGGGCCGAATAGTTCTGTGAGCTGATCAAATGCGACCGCAGAAAGGTGCGGTAAAATACTCCAGCAATGTCGGCATCACCTCTACTGATGGTGACAATGGGCCTGATGTAAGAATTTGAAGCGCTTTTTATGGTCGTGGTTCAACTTCCCTGCACCTCCCCGCAGGTGCTCTTCTGCCCAGCTGTCGCTGCCGGTGCCGAGTCTGGCAGATGCCTATTGGTTGACGCCGGGTGCTGCCCGATTCTGCGAGTTGACCTAGCCTGGCCAGGACAGGCTGTGATTCAGTTACGTACAACTATCATGCCGCACGTGGCGCGTTGCGATTCGTGGGGCCGGGCGCGGCGTAACCTGGGGGGATGGGGGGGGGGGGGGGGGCGGTCGGCCCGGGCAGGGAGCGAGGTTGGGGCTAGGATACGAGGGTATGGACTTCAGGAAGAAAGGGTGGCTGGTGAGCCTGAGAGCCCGTTCAGGAGCCCGCCTTGCGAGAGAGAGAGAGAGACTCGCGAGAACTACGTCGATCGGTCGGAACGCTGGCTGCCTGTGATGCGAACAACGCGGAACCGCATGCTGTTGATGCGGATCACTCACGTGTGAATATACGTTATCCGAAAACAGGGGTGGCGTTCATGTAGACAGTGTCAACGTCGGAAACTTGCATGAAGTAGCCTCGATCGCACGCACGTTACTTTCTGGACGTACCGGCCCAATTTCAGCGGCGAAGCTTGCGGGTCCATGCGCGCCATCGCTGTTTTGACACATCCCCAGCCCGCTGCAGCCCTGTCTCCTCGGCCAGCCGAGAAGGGCTGCCCGCCGGCCCTCGGCTCTGTCACTTCACCCGGCGGGAGTGCGCATTAAGGACTGTCAAAGCGGCGGGCGACGACGCCCAGCACATGCCGCCGCTGCTGCCAGCGCGTGCGAGGTTTGTTGGCCGCCGCCTGCCCGGCGGGAATTTTAATAACATGGAGCGCTAATCCGGCGCGTGGCAGCAGCTGCGCGGCAGGCCAACTCCGACAAGAGGCGTCCTCAGCGTGGCCGCCGCGCCGCCGCGCAAAACTTTCATTAATTATCGCTTGCCATTAGTGTACGGTAAACAGAGTTAATTGGCAGTGCGCGCCGGGTCTGGTGGGAGGCGACGAGACGGCGTCACCGTACACCACGCTCCCAGGCGTGTAAGCCTCCCGTCTGCCCGGGCCCGAGGAGCGGCGTCTGGTGGTGCCCGGCTCCGCGGCCCTCCGCAGGGTCCAGAGAGGCAGGGGAAGGTGCCGCTCCCAGGCGTGGCAGCCTTCCGTCTGCCCGGGCCCCAGGACCGGCGTCCGGCGCCGTCCGGTCCCGCGGCCTGCGGCAGGGTCCAAAGAGGCAGGGGAGGGCGCCGCTCCCAGCAACCTATGACAATGGGCGTGGTCAGTCGCCGTGCGCAGATGGCTCAGTTGCCCAGCGGCTTCTTTTTTGCATCCTGCAAGGCCAGTGGCACGCAGAAAACCCAACCAGCGACGAGACGCCTCGGCCTCCGCCATATCAGACCCCATCGGAGAGGCACCGTTCATTTTGGCGGTTTCAGTCTACGGCATCTGCCACTGGGCGTTTTGCGAATGAAGCACTCAATCCATTACAGCCGCGGACGACAATTTGATTTATGGCTGCATAGTCCTAGTCATCCCAACTCTTCAGAAACATCGCAGTTAATCAAATGCATTTAGATGAGAAGTTCAAGGGTGCATCGAACATGGCGGATGGCGGAATCCGCGCTCTCCTCCATATTCACTTAGTAAGGTCATTTGGATGTTGTCTGATCACAATTGATGATTTCCACCCCAAGTCACAATTTGGTTGAGAAGATCGTGAGGTTTCGGGTAGCAGTGCGCGCGAAGCACTACATTTGCCGCACAGGGTCGTACATACGAGCGCGGGAGCGTGCGCTCATCGCCGCCCAGTATAGTTCGCCCAGCAATCA